AATTTCTTGCTATTTGTACAATACGCAATTTTCTAAGATTAAACAGCGGTGAGAAACACTTCAATAACCACACGAGCAGTTTTTTTAAATTAAGTTTCTTGTGCAACTGTTTCAAAAAATTTTCGAATTTATTGGAAGAACTATCAAAATTTTGATTGTCATGCGCTTTTTATGCAAATACGTTGTTTATGTCATGCTTCGGGAAAAAATGTCAGCAGTCTACAAAAAAAAATTTAAGCAGTCTACGTTGAAGCTGTGAAATAAACCAGCACCTAAAAGAATTTGTAAAAAATTTAAGATCTGAAAAAACCAAGAAAACAAAGTCTTAGATCTGAAACCAGATCCGAAATAGATTTTTCAGATCTGAAATAACCAAGAGCAACAAATGTTTAGATCTGAAATTAGATCTGAAATAACCCATTTTTAAAGTAGTCAATCATTATTCAACTAAACACAAAGTATTTCAGATTTGAAAGAAAACACTTACAAGGTACGGCATCGTATAACAGAAAAACTGCTTCCACAGGATGTGTCTGCACTAGTGGTTTTTTTAAATATTCATTTTCTCTGAAAGTATTGAAGATTAAAAATTTTCATCAAAATTGTTCTTCATCATTTCTTAATTAAAATCAACCCAATTCGACAACAAAGCGTTTCATTTTTTTCCGTTTTGTCCGGTTAACTTAAGCCATCATTGTATAAGAGAAATGCTGTCTGTACAACAACAGTAACATCACAAGTTTGTGTGAACGTTAATTATATGTGAAAAGTTAAGCTGGTCAATTTGCAAGACAACTTGCACCACACAGCGGATATTCACAACAAGATGTGAAGTTCATTAATTGATTCTCAGATCTGAAATTCCTTGAATCAGATCCTGATACGAACTTGGAAATTTCAGATCTGAAATAGAAATTTTCTGATTTGAAAAAAAAACTTCAAAAACATTTTTTCAGATCTGAAACTACATCTGAGAAGCCCTTTGTTAAATTATAGTGTTTGCGTTTCGAGCAATTGAATGAAATTTAATGTCTTGCTATTTGTGCACGACGCAATTTTCTGAGATTAATTAGCATTAAGAAAGTTTCAATAAACACACGATCAGTTTTTTGTAATTAAGTTTCTTTTGCAAGTGTTTGATTTTCTTGCGCTATTTATGAAAATCCGTTGTTTAGGTCATGCTCGAGAAATATAATTCACCAGTCTACAAAAAAAGTTCAAGCAGTCTTCGTTGAAGCTGTAAAGTACACCAGCAAGAGTTTATAAAAATTTCAGATCTGAAATAACCAAGAAAATAAAGTCTTAGATCTGAAAATACATCTGAAATAGAATTTTCAGATCTGAAATAACCAAGAACGTTAAATATTCAGATCTGAAATTAGATCTGAAATAACCCATTTTTAAAGTAGTCAATCATTATTCAACTACACCCATCCTATTTCCGATTTGAAATTAAACACTTAGTAGGTACGCACAGTATAACAAAAAAACTGCTTTCACAGGATGTGTCTGCGAGGGTTTTTTTCAAACACTGATTTTCTCTGAAAGTATTGAAGGTTCAAAATTTTAAACAAAGTTTTTCTTCATCATTTTTAAATTAAAATGAACCCAGTTCGAGAACAAAGCGTTTCAAATTTCAATTTGTTTTCGTTTCGTTCTGATAACTTAAGCCATCATTGTATAAGAGAAACGCTGTCTCTACAATAACAGTAATCTCACATGTTTGTGTGAACTTTGAATATGTATGAAGGCTAAATCTGGTCATTTTGCATAATAAATTGCACCACACATCTGATATTCACAACAACATGTGAAGTTCATTATTCCATAAATTGATTCTCAGATCTGAAATTCGTTAAATGAGATCCTGATACAAATTTGGAAATTTCAGATCTGAAATTTGGATCTGAAATAGAAATTTTCAGATTTGCAAAAAAAGCTTGAAAAACAAAATTTCAGATCTGAAATTACATCTGAAAACCTTTTTTTAAAATATAAAAAAAATTAATAGAGTTTTTTCGTTTCGAGCAAATCAATGAATTACAATTTCTTGCTATTTGTACAATACGCAATTTTCTAAGATTAAACAGCGGTGAGAAACACTTCAATAACCACACGAGCAGAAACACACGAGCAGTTTTTTTTTAATTAAGTTTCTTGTGCAACTGTTTCAAAAAATTTTCGAATTTATTGGAAGAACTATCAAAATTTTGATTGTCATGCGCTTTTTATGCAAATACGTTGTTTATGTCATGCTTCGGGAAAAAATGTCAGCAGTCTACAAAAAAAAATTTAAGCAGTCTACGTTGAAGCTGTGAAATAAACCAGCACCTAAAAGAATTTGTAAAAAATTTAAGATCTGAAAAAACCAAGAAAACAAAGTCTTAGATCTGAAACCAGATCCGAAATAGATTTTTCAGATCTGAAATAACCAAGAGCAACAAATGCTTAGATCTGAAATTAGATCTGAAATAACCCATTTTTAAAGTAGTCAATCATTATTCAACTAAACACAAAGTATTTCAGATTTGAAAGAAAACACTTACAAGGTACGGCATCGTATAACAGAAAAACTGCTTCCACAGGATGTGTCTGCACGAGTGGTTTTTTTAAATATTCATTTTCTCTGAAAGTATTGAAGATTAAAAATTTTCATCAAAATTGTTCTTCATCATTTCTTAATTAAAATCAACCGAATTCGACAACAAAGCGTTTCATTTTTTTCCGTTTTGTCCGGTTAACTTAAGCCATCATTGTATAAGAGAAATGCTGTCTGTACAACAACAGTAACATCACAAGTTTGTGTGAACGTTAATTATATGTGAAAAGTTAAGCTGGTCAATTTGCAAGACAACTTGCACCACACAGCGGATATTCACAACAAGATGTGAAGTTCATTAATTGATTCTCAGATCTGAAATTCCTTGAATCAGATCCTGATACGAACTTGGAAATTTCAGATCTGAAATAGAAATTTTCTGATTTGAAAAAAAAAACTTCAAAAACATTTTTTCAGATATGAAACTACATCTGAGAAGCCCTTTGTTAAATTATGGTGTTTGCGTTTCGAGCAATTGAATGAAATTTAATGTCTTGCTATTTGTGCACGACGCAATTTTCTGAGATTAATTAGCATTAAGAAAGTTTCAATAAACACACAATCAGTTTTTTGTAATTAAGTTTCTTTTGCAACTGTTTGATTTTCTTGCGCTATTTATGAAAATCCGTTGTTTAGGTCATGCTCGAGAAATATAATTCACCAGTCTACAAAAAAAGTTCAAGCAGTCTTCGTTGAAGCTGTAAAGTACACCAGCAAGAGTTTATAAAAATTTCAGATCTGAAATAACCAAGAAAATAAAGTCTTAGATCTGAAAATAGATCTGAAATAGAATTTTCAGATCTGAAATAACCAAGAACGTTAAATATTCAGATCTGAAATTAGATCTGAAATAACCCATTTTTAAAGTAGTCAATCATTATTCAACTACACCCATCCTATTTCCGATTTGAAATTAAACACTTAGTAGGTACGCACAGTATAACAGAAAAACTGCTTTCACAGGATGTGTCTGCGAGGGTTTTTTTCAAACACTGATTTTCTCTGAAAGTATTGAAGGTTCAAAATTTTAAACAAAGTTTTTCTTCATCATTTTTAAATTAAAATGAACCCAGTTCGAGAACAAAGCGTTTCAAATTTCAATTTGTTTTCGTTTCGTTCTGATAACTTAAGCCATCATTGTATAAGAGAAACGCTGTCTCTACAATAACAGTAATCTCACATGTTTGTGTGAACGTTTAATATGTGTGAAGGTTCAGGTTGTCATTTTGTGTGCGCAAAGGAAAGAAACCAGCTGTTATTATTCTTCTGACAATCATAATAACGAAAAAATGCGACTTTTGTGAAAATTATGCAGCTTAAACTTGAAAAAAATTGAATAAAACGGCAGGATCACAACAGATCGAAACATTAGCGTTCTAAACTGGTTCGCAAAATAGTTTTTCGTTTGGAAAAAGCACGAAGACAGCCTCTAAAATTTTTGCCGGATTCACCAAAAACTCGAAGAAAAAAAACGGTATTGTTACAGCAGAGACCCCGACAATTTAGTGAGCACCAGGCATTTTTTATCAAAAAAATGTCACGTGAATTTGATTTTTACATTCTCTGCCATTAAGCAAGATTGTCTCAAATTTTTTAAATTGAAGCTATCCAAACCTTTTTTCTTCCATGAAATCAAGAATCAACCCGAGTAGCAAGGCCCTTTTTTGACATAGCAATGCCGTTCTTAGGTGTAGCAATGCAATTTTTTCCCGAAGTTTTGCATAGTTCGTCTCAACTGCCGGCGCTGTATTTTTGTGTTTTTCTGACATTAAGTGTATAAAACAGGAAAAAAGTTTTAAAAGTTCATTCGGATGGATAAGAATGGATTCACTTATTCGAACTCTAATGCAGGGTAATTTTTACGCAAATTTTTTAATTTAATAACTCCATTTCTCGGAAATTATTGAAGGTATAAACTCAAACTTTTGTGCAAGCAGAGGAAAGTGACGGATTGTCACAGAACCAACGTAATCAAAAACATGGCAGGCTTTGTACAAATTTTTGAATTCTAACAAAGAAATAGTTTGAATTAGTGAAGCGGAAACGTTCAAAACCCATCAAGAAATTATCGTAGTAAAATGGTTTGCAAAGTTTGCCATGTTTTTGATTACGTTTGTCGAAACACTAAGTTGGTTCTATGACAATCCGTTACTTTCCTCTGCTTGCACAAAAGTTCGAGTTTATACCTTCAATGATTTCCCAGAAAAAGAGTTATTAAATTTAAAACTTTGCTTAAAACACCCTGCAATAGAGTTCGAATACGTTCTGTAGAATAGTATACGCTTCAATCAAAGATGATAGAAGACATTTTTTGATAGATTCTCAGCATTTCACAGAAAGCAAAAAATATTTAAAAAATCAATATAAGAAGAAACAGATCGAAACATGAGTGTTCCTGTAGGCCCTCGAAGCAGTCGTCCCTTCCCTCCCTCCTCTGGCCCTAGTGTGGTGCGGATGGTCAGACACACCCCCTCTCGGATGGACTGTCTGGTTGGACATCTGTGTGCGATCAGTCTGGCATACACTCTATTCACAGTCCCACTGGACATCACCTGGCACATAACAGGTCGGAACAACCGATTCACTGACTTAATGAAAACACTATATGATTAATATACAGCTTAGTTTACGTTTAATCGTTAGCCTTCAATCGATATCTCAAAGCCATATACATTAACAACTGAAGTTGTCTATGATTTAGGCCTTTGAAAAATCCAAAATAATCCTTTGTTGGTACCACAGCAACAGTACAGAAAATTGCATCTTTTCAATTTCAATCAATGACCTGAAAGAATTTTCAGTCATTTATCTAACGCATTATCTGTCACAAATGAAGAAATGGGCTGAAATACCATTTACAAATACAAGTAAAAGGATCTAGCTCGATAGATAGAATATATTAAGGATATTTTTGAAAAGATGTAGGTATTTAACAAAGCAATTAGATCTGGCCAGAGAATTTCTTGGTGCTGAACAATCGCCTCGTAAGTAAGCACCAATGAAAATTGCATTTCATGAACCAAATCGAAAATGAAAATCTATGATATTGTCCATCAACTCGCAAACAGTCACAATATGAAAAGACTGAAAAACAATTATGCTTTCTCGTGAATTTTCAATTATTTTTGCAATGTTTGTTTTAAACAGTTTCATGCCTTGAATTTGATTGTGTTTATTCAAACCATGAATTTCTGACATGCATTAAATAAAGCCCTGCGTGAAGATGAAAAAGTTGATTTTTCATTACCCGTACTAGATGCTCGTATATTGACTTTGATTGTCGAAAATCACACGTTGGTGTGAAAATACGCAGTCGAAAAGCAATTTTAGAACCAGTGCAAAAATTGAAAAATATCCAATTTTGTTTGTGAAAATCAACATAGAGGTCAAGCACAACCAAAACAAAGGTCGAGCACTGTATTATTTTTGTCTTTCATGATTTTTTTGAAGAAATCAAGTGAAATATAAAATACAAAAAAAAAACATCTACTCGAGCACTGCCTCTGTTGTTTTCTATATTGTAAACTAATGTTTCAACTTTTTTTTGCGCAACTTTTGATTTTTGTTACTGTTTGTTTTTGTTTTTATGCTACTCAAGTTTTCTATTTTTGTTCGTTTCAACAATTTTATTAAACCAACAACCCCCCTGAGATTTGCCGAGGTTTTAGAATGAAAACTTTGTTGCTGAACAATAAGTAAATTGTTTTAGAGTTAAATATTTTGTTAGATTGAATTACTTTGTTGCTTAGTTTCGAATATAGTCTTGGTTGAGGAAGTTTATCCTGAATGATCATAAGATTAAGTTGAATCAGATTTTCTAGCAAACAATAGAGATAACAGATATGGAGTGAACACGCTCTGCGTGGTGTTAAGTAGAGATTAGCGCAATGACCTTGGTTTGTATAAATAGCAACAAACTGCAGTAGAACTGCAAAAGAACAAGTAACTAACGAGGTACCGAAGGTCGCCTCACGACATTCCCCGCGGGGGAAAAATTTTGAGAAACTTCAAAATTAGAGAGAAAATAAAACTGCACCCGGACGAGCAAATGATTGATAGCCCCCTATCCCACACAAATGTCTTACAGTGAAGCAAAATATGATAGCACGAAAGAGTTTGACTAGAGTTTAAAGAGTTTTAAAGAGTTGTTAATAGTTTTAAACTGGACATATGGTCAATCAGTGCCAGTAGTTTCATTCCTTTGAGCAAGAGAAGGAGACGTCGGAGCTGAAGGTCGAGGTGGAAGACGATTCCGAATAAGTGGTTTCCGTGGTGAGGATGTGGATACGACCGGCGCATCTGAGGGCATATTTTGATCCTCCGTAACTGATCTGAGTGATGAAGCTACTGCCGTTTCAGAGGGCAAAATTGAGTCCTCCTCTACTGATTTCACCGAATGCCGCAACTGATCGCCAAAAAACTGAGTACGCTTTTTACTACGATGTGACGTACGGATGACTCGGCATCGTCAACCACTGGTTGAGCTGGTAGAGAAAGCGAAGAGTAGGAGGAAGGCAACTCTGAGGACGCTGAATGAGAGGGGAGACCCAAATCTTGTGTCGAATCCTTTTCCGGCGACGAGACAATAATTTCAGGACGAGAAGGACTAACCTCAGGAGGCCCAGCAGGATGAGCGGTCGAGGAAGAAGCAGCACGATGTGAAGTCCGCGGTTGAGGCCAAGTGAACGATCCTTCAGGCTGTTTAGTAGAATCAGTATTCCGCGAGCACAAGTTGAGGTATGGGGAGTCGACGTCGAGGCAAACCGAGGAGCAAACCGAACCGGAGGTGAGTCACACTGAAACCTCTGGCGTTTTCCGATTGGAGCAGAATCTTGAGCCACCTGACGACCATTGTTGGATCCAACTGGACTTTCACTGGAAGAATCAACTGTGAGATCCACCATCGGAGTAGAGAGAGGGGGATTGTTAGGCCGTTGTTCCAGTAGTACAGGCTGCGACCGCGTAGTGGGCCGTTTTACCGCTCCTCGAGAAGTTGAATTCGAAGCTTAGATGCGATCACCTATAGTGTTTGGAGCAACTAAAACGGTAGACCGATAATTAGGTTTGAGGCAGATATAATTTTTCCGGTAAGCTTTCCCCTTGTCGGTAACATAAGTATGATCCGTAACACGAACAATTTTAAACTTAGTCATTTTATAAAGAGGTTTCCCCGATTGACGATCAATAATTTTCCTAAAGACTTTAACTCGACTAGGATCAGACAGTAGAAGGATTTCTAATTTACTTGTTTTCGAGAGGCGACGAGGTTGCACAACTGGTGCACGCCTGGAGCTGACTTGCGCCCCCGGAGGTGTTACTATTGCCGAGAAGCGAAGAGTGTTGCTATTGAGTCCGGACTTAAGAGAATGAGTGAGGTCCGAATGCCGGGTTGCGAGCTTCTCGAGGACCTTTTTTCCTCCATCTGGGGGAAGATTACGTTTGAATTGCGACCATTTATTCGCCGCCCGAGCGAGAAATGTGGCCTTGTATGGTTCACTATCTGCCACATTTCCGTCCATCGAAAACAAGGATTTGAAGCGGGGAGGAAGTGTTGGACTGGTACTGCCGCAAGGAACAACATTTTGCCCTGTCCCTACTGTAATCGTTGCTGGCAATCTGGTCTGGTGTAAGGAGGTTGCGCTCCAGTCCTTGGGCTGAAGTATCAGATTGAACAACATTATTACGAGCCTGAGATTATACAGTATTAGGTTTACGGCCAAAATACAATTCAAAAGGTGATTTCATAAGCACCGAATGGTTACTCTTGCGAATATCCTGAAGTATTTGATGAATCGTATCCTTAAAGTTTTTGAATTTAGGATCGAGTTTTGCCACACCCAGTTTTCTCTTGATTGTCCGAATCGTTCGTTCGACCAACCCACTGCTGCGATGATCTCCGACCGCTGAGAGGACATGTTTAATATCTCTATTGGAGCAGAATTCTTGCACCAAGTTATTTTTAAAATCTGAACCACGATCCGTTCTGATAGAATGAGGAAGACCATGAATTTGAATATAAGATTCAAGGACTTTAGTAACCTTCTAAGCCCCAGTGGTTTTAGAAATCAGAAGTGAAGGAAGTTTAGAGAACGGATCAATCGCTACCAAAAGAAAGATCGGACCAGCAAAATCTAGTTGTAACTCCTGAGTAGGTCCAGACACGACAGGCAAAGATTGCGCAGTATTAAAAGTTGACGCGGGCTTAAGATTCTTACCAAACAGGGTGCATTCACGACACGTCTCAATGATCTGACGGTTCATAAATGGCCACCAGAGGTATTCGGAGGCTGCCATCATAGCTTCTTGTCTCGGTGAGATCGGTGAAGACGAGTGAGCACGGCTTGTCGAAGGGGTTCAGGAATAGCTAATTTATTAACAATAACTACACAGTCATTTACCACAGCTGCTTTAGGCCAAAACTGGGCCATATACGCACCAAGATTGTTGAAAGAGGTGATATCCTTGTTTATGTCGGCTCGCTTCATGGGGCCAAGAAAACGATCCTCCGCCGTCAATCCCGCCGAAAGATCTGCATCAAAGAGCTCAGGCAAGTCCACAATTTCCTTCTTTGATGAGGAGAGGAGAGGTTTACCCCCATTCACAGCGAGGACACCAATCTTTGCGGCCGTGTTAACTTTGCCTGTTTTCGACAGGCGACATCGTCTCATCGCCTCCAACAGCTGCGTGTGACCGTCTTTCCTAGTTGTAGTCCTTGTGGCGACAAAACGGGTTTTGGCGGCCCGTTCCCGTGTTCGGTTTCGTTGGCGTATCTGATCCAATCGGGACATGCGGTTGAGTTGACGAGATCGTATTTGCGGCCTTGGACTAGCTCGGCGAAAGTTTGGAGAACTAACTGGAAAAGACTCCACAAATGTTTGTAAATCAACCTGCTCAGCAGTTGAGTGCAATATAGTCATAGAGTTAGGTTGAGTGATAGTAGCGTTCGAGTCAGTAGTAGTTGGGTTATCGTTTTGCGGTTTTGTCATGTTGGAAAGTTTTTGAGAGAAAGAAGATGAAATAAATTGACTGTTTGCTAAAGATTCAGGTCGGAGACAGTGATTTTTTGAAATGTCATCTGGTTTGTAACAATCAATTTGCATACCAGTCCCTGATTGGTTGAATTCGTGAGAGCAAAAACCGACACCCTCTTTTGACAAACAACGCAAACAGTCCATTTGCATACCGCAATATGATTGGTTGAAACATTGAGTGACATTATCATAGCCCCCATCCGGCGAGTGACGTAAATAACGACCACCATTTTGCTGTGTCACAAATTGGACCCCCTCTTGCGGCGATATACAATTTTGATTCCACTTTGGAGAGGAATTATAAGAATTGATAAATGAGAGGGCCTGATAAAATGCCTCAACTGACTTAACTACAAAAATTTAGTCGTTTTTAGAGGGTTCAGGAGCTGGAAACGTAGGATAACGTGATAAGTAATCGACTATCCCCAACGTGATCCCTGGGAAGTGAATAACCTCAAAATCAAAAGGTAGCAGACGATCTGCCCAGCGAGCAAGGCGAGACTGATATGACTTATTATTATAATTTTCACTTAATGCCGATATGAAAACGCGTACCTAACAAATAGGTGCGGAAATGTTCGCAAGCCCAGACAAAAGCCGATAACTCCAGTTCGTTAGTGCTGTATTTAACCTCCGCATTATTAAAAAAACGCGAAGCAAAAGCAGTTGGTGCCCAAACTCCCGGTTCAACTTCCTGTTCGAGGCAAGCTCCTAGGCCATTATGGCTAGCGTCACATTTTACCCTCGATCCTTTCGATGATTCGAAATGATACAGACTCGGAATTCTCGCAATCATCTCGATTATATCATAAAAAGCTTAATTCTGATCCTCACCCCACAGGAACGATTGTTTATTACAGGCCTTCAATGAGGCCCGGAAATGAACAGTATGAGTATGCCAATCAGGAATAAACCTTTGTAAAGGGTTTAGCGTTCCCGTAAACGACCGAAGTTTTTAGAGTTCGCGGTGGTTTAAGCGATTGAATTGCCTCGATCTTTGAAAATTTTGGGGAGTAACCGTTCTCATTATTGTCATACCCTAACCAAGTTAGTTGGTTAACAGAGAATTCGCACTTACTCGGTTTTAGGGCCCAGCCTTCCACATCAAGCCTTTGCATAACTTTTTCGACCAGAACGTTATATTCTTGGACATCGCATTTAGTGACTATCAAAATGTCATCGGGGTAACAAATAACCCCTTCTAACCATTGCAAGGTACAATCCATTGCCTTCTGGAACTCGGTAGGCATATCAGTCAGTCCAAAAAAAAACCGGTCTTGAATCGGTACGTTCCCGTCGCCTCGCCACACAAAATGTTGAAATTACAGTGGCCGCTAGTGAGTGATGACAGTGGCAACTGATTAAACGCATACTCCAAATCCAAGGACGTGAACCAAACCTTACCAGGAACAATTCGAGTTATGATGTGTGCCGCGGAATCAATAAGCTCATGAATGTTCGGCATCTGGTACTTGTTTTTCCAGATCTGAGCATTCATCGGTTTAGCATTGAGGGCCAGTTTGATATATTCATACTTTTTTGCAGTTAGCACAATCGGTGCTATGAAGAAATCAGTCGTACACTTGTCCAACTTTTCAATATGTCCTTGCTCCACCAAAAGTTTTATCTCACTCGCGACCCTATCTTGAATATGAATCGGAACTTTTCGTCCTTTAATTCGACGTGGCACCAATGGGAACTTGAAATTTGTGTATACTTTATGATTTTTTGATCGACCCAAACGACTAAACACATGGGCGTATTTTTTTGCAAAAAAGGAACTCCAGTATTCTGAAATCGGATCTGAGGAACTATACTCCAACGACTGGATTGTTTCGGCCTTCAATTGTGTAGTAACAATACACAGTTGCTCCTGCAAGTCCAAACCGAGAAGATTACGAGTTCTATTCTCCGAAATGAGGAACCGAGCGTTTGACACCCTCCAGCCACTAGAAGAAATCGGAATTTGATTCGACCCAAGGAGGTGAATGGGCTTCTTATTATAGTCGACATACAGGGTATCAATAGGGTAACGGGTGATATCGCGAAACTCAATTGGTATACTCGTTGCAAGAGTAAATCACAGGTGCGTTTATTCAGGAACGAAATTGGGCTTCCTGTGTCTACTGTCGAATAGAAAAAACTGTAACCTGAACCCAACTGGTTACTGAGGCTTCGAGATTGTCCTCCACTTGACTTGAGGGTTTCTATGTTATTAATCATGACAGCGGATTCCAGCTCTAACACCCCATATTCGGGCTCACTATCCTGGTCTACATCTATAAAATTGCAATCCACAGAGGGACCCGCCACGTCCTCATTTTCCTGCACCAGATTTACACGTCTTTTCGACGAGTTGCAACATTTTGCGAAGTGGCCACGTTTTCGACAGAGATTACACGTTACTTCGCGAGCTGGACAAGATTTACGGTGATCCGGACTATAAGGATTACCTCAGAAGTAACATGATTTATTTGTTTGATTATTCTGTGACGTTTGTCGGTTAGTTTGGTTATGAGGATAATTCCGTTTCCCTCTCGATGACTGAATAGAGCAAGTAGGTTCTTGTTTAACCTTAATACAGTTTGAATGTTGATTATGAGGGAGTAGTTTTTGGAACTGAGCAGACGTACTTGCCCCTTTTTTGCACTCAAGTGCGAGCTTAAAGCTGCTATCTAGATCAGCTTTTGCCTTGATGAGTTGTTGTTGAACATCGCATCGACTTCTCGAATCCGTCCAATCAAGAGGTCTTTCAAAATCTCCTTTTCTTGATCATTAGGCCAATCACACAAAGCCACTTGGGCGCTCAAACGAGCGTAAAAGTACGATAAAGTGTCATTTTCAAGCATGAAAACCATGTTAT